TTTGTGACATTTGTTTCAGTTGCATTTAGGTTTCTGTTTCCTTTTTTCAGGGCTCTCCGAGAAAACAAATCATTTCCTAGAGAGGAATCGAGAGGGAGAGAATCATATAAAGGTTCGTATCATTCCAAAACAGATCCCACAAATTAGAGCTGTATTCTGTGTCAAACGTTGGAGCCCATTTGGTACCTGTGAATTACGGTGTTTCCGTAATTAAATTGTCCGTATAAACATTTATCACCTGGTGAAATAACAGGACATTGGAAACATCGACAATTACTTCAATTGTTGCTTTATAAAAGAAATGTTCTCAAAAAATATATACCCGTGTTTGAAAACCTCTCTGAAAATACGGAGAACTTTCTGTGTTCTTAAAAGTTAGCTAGTGCTATTTTCAAGGCTTCTAGTCTAGGGCCGCAGGCTTAAAAGGCTGACGAGGACTGGGGCGTGATGAATGCAAGCTGACTTGTTGCACGATGGGTAAAAAAAGAGGAAACTGAACCCCTCCCCATGAGCGAGAAAAAATGGGAAAAGAGAAAGAACATTTCTTTGTTCCAATATTTCTAAGCCTATTGTGTCTGCCTTTTTACTTACACGACATGAGTTGTTATCTGGATCATTCCTGATACGATCGACTTTACACAACAAAAATTCGACAGTTACATTGTATAAGCAATTATTTTCTTTTGCAAAGGACGGGACGGGCGGGACGGCAGAGATGGTCCCACGGGTCCCCCGGGATCACCAGGGCTTCCAGGACATCCAGGAACAACAGGGATACCAGGAACACCAGGAACACCAGGTTAGGGAGCACGAAGCATTGTTATTAGTACTTGTGACAAATGAAAATGAAAATTTGTTTCTTGGAAGGCCCCCCTCGGAGAAAAAGGACAAGATTGGGTTAATTACGTACAAGCACCGTTTTGCTTAGAACTCATATTTCCTTGATAAGGTTTGAATAACGTTTGACTTCTGAGAACTGATGATGTATATCAGCCAGGTAATCAACAAGGCTATTGTTCTGATTTAATTGGAGAAATCTTTTCGCCAAATGTAGTGTATTGTTCCCACATAGAAACGTTGCGCCAGAGCTTAGGTTTAGGTACAACGAGCGCTTCACAGAAGCTTACGTACACCTTTGGAGAAGTCAAAGCTCGAAATCAATACTATATTCAGGGCCAAATTAGCACAACCGATCATTGTAGATGAAGGTAACTGGTAGCGAAAAGAACAATTTGCTTTCTTCATTACTTCAATTCTCCATTATATCTTCAGGTCGTGACGGCCGTGACGGCAGAAAAGGCTCTGCTGGAGCCCGAGGCCTGCCGGGACCAAAAGGTATCCATTACGATTTATTTAGAAATAGAAAAGATTTCACTAAAAAAGTTAACGTTAAAAAGCAACGACGTTTCGACCGTTGGACGGTCATTTCCAAGTTGAAAAGTAAAATTTTTGCATGCGCCCAAATATATGCAATCGATTATAAGAATGCTATTGAGACACTGACTAAACTCTAAAATATTTGCATAGAAACAATACAAGAAATAATTAAGTAAATAGCTTTGCGTGGATCGAGTCATTCTGTATGTTCAATTTTGGTTGAAGTTTACGAATAAAAAACATTTCAAAAATCAAACAGTCCAGTTTACTCTGACATTTTTTCAAAATCCTGAAATTGCTTCCAATGGTCTCTGTATCCTTTCCGTGCTCATACTTTACGTGGTTGCCGATTGTTGATCGTTTATGTTCCTCCACACGTTGCTGTAGGTGTCGACTCGTGAAGCCGACATAGTCTGCATCGCACAGACCACACTTGTAATAATAAACAACGTTTTGTTGATTCACAATTGGAGGCTTATGTTCCTTTGGTTTGAATTGTCCTTTGATCTTCTGACTTGTGTAAACAGGCTGGACAACGGCATCAATCTTTGATCTCAGCTTTTTAACGTTAACTTTCTTAGTGAAATCCGTTTCTAAAAATTTGTTGATTCGAATTTAGAAAAGATTTCACGTGTTTCAATCGAGTTAAAAAAAAAAAAAAAAAAAAAAAA